CCAGCTAACTTCTTTCTTTAAAGTGTAAAATACTTATACAAAAGCCCAAGTACACCTTAAGTCATAACCTATCATTTTTCTTACCAAATCAAGCGTATGTGCTCATACCGATTTCTTGTATGTTATAGATGGCATCTACAAATCTTAAATCATTCATAATCAAAACTTTACACCAATATTTCTAAAACCTTCCATACATTATAAAACATGCCCTGATGAACCGCCAAAAACCTTAATCTAGGCTCGAAAGCCTAAACGCTAAAAATTGGGTCACACTAGGGTTTCTAAAGTAGTCCCACCCTATAATTCATGTGAAACTCACGTCAACCCTTCGTAATCAATCTTATCCACTTATATACTCATTATAAAATGTCCCTTTATATATTATGGTCTATTCACCCAACAAAACACATACTAAACCTTCCTGTTACATCTAAAGTCAACCATTTTTACTCATTTTTTTGTACTTTTAAAATATTTGAGCACGGTTACCTATCAAGTTCCATATGAAATCATCCTTAAACTTCTTTTCCTTCATTCCCACTTACTGGTTCACCTTCAAGGAAACCTATAACTTATGAATACAATATACACATTTAACACTAAATGCACATTATCAACCTGATCATGCACCTTGATGATGGATCAAACATATAATTCATATGCATATAAATGTAAAATCATGCAATGCATTGACCAACTAGTATGTGAGAAATCTGGGCATCACAAAAAGTTTTCATCAACGGTGTGCGTGTCACATAATCAATTTAGTAGTTCAGGCAGGAATTAAACATATTTTAGCTAATCTCCTTCATATCTAGTTCTGGAGCTCGGCTCTAAAAATTCAAACAATATTGTAGGAATAGTCAAATGCGCCCGAGAATGTTCCCAACTAACGTGAGACATAGGTGGAATTCCACCCATTTAATGTTGAAAGTTGCACTCCCGTATCAACAGCTCATCACAATGTATGTAAATAGTAAGAATGATCAACTTTTAATTTTTGATACAGATGGGCAGATTTGTGAGTATTTTTTTAAATTTGTAAATATAAACTCAAGTTTTGACTCACTTAAACACAAACTCAAAAAGATTTTTATCTCAAACTATAACTCAAATGTACACAACTAAACACAAACTCAAGTTACAACTTTAACTCAAGTGATAACTTAAATTCAAATCAAGATTTATACTCAAGTCATCATAATTCAAAAATACAACTGAACAAGCCCTAAAACTTCCACATAACTAATAATTATTATTATTAGTTTTCTTCCTTATTATTAATAGTTTTCTTCCTTTGTAAGAGAACGATCATACTTTGTTAGCAAACAGGAAGAAAGCCTTCAATATTCCTCCCTTTCTTGTCCACAATGAGTGCTTTCACAATGGGACAGCTTTCTTAGCGGAAACAATATTTCTCAAGCACGTTGCCCTAATCATCTCCGCACCATAAAGCCACGGACCGGCAAAATAATCGGCCTCATCAGCCAAAAGTAGCCAATCAGAGCCTCCTGTTGTGCTACCATTCTCAAAGCCACCAATGAATGTCCTCGTCACATTTTTTTCTTTTTTGATAATTCCCGGTTAGTATTAGAGAGATTGTAATATGTCTTTTAATTTAGATCACACATTTTTTAAATTATTAAAATACACATGTTAACAGTTTGAAAAAGAAAAAACCCGCTGTAGCGCATGTTTATTGCGCCGCAGCGGATGAGACAGCACCATTTGGTGTTGTATGTGCTGCCAAACCTACTATAGCGACCATTTTGGACACTACAGCGCCTCTGCTGCAACAGTTTTGCTGCCAAACCCACAGTAGCGAGTTTTCTGCAGAAAAAATGTCTTTTGTGTGTGATTTGTGATCTGAAACATTTTGAATCATTGCATCTAATGGTGATATGTTTTCACACATATCTGAACACCTATTAGCAATAAATATAATTGTTGTAATATATGTATTAATCCATTAAAAGATACATGTACATTAAAAATGTATTTTTATGTGAATGGTTGTGATGTTTGAAGATGATGTATTCATTCATGAAATGATACCTCTATCTTTATTAATTCTCTAGAAAATTTACACACCTGATCTATGTTCTGTAACACAATATTATTGCTAGATATTGTGTTTAAGGGTTTGTTGTATCTTGAAGGTAATTTGCAATAGAAACTCAATAGCAAACTTTGAAAAGTGAATGCAAACAAAATCTTAAAGAAAAGTATTTCTATATGCCTCAAACCCTTTTATTTTATGCATTCTTTTTATCATCTACCCTCAAATTCTCCTACAGTTACTGCCACAGGCTTGACCTGACCTCAAGCGGGTAGCACTGTGCATCAATGAGATCATCGACCACCAGCTGTATAACTGGACAATCAACTCCTCATGTTGCAGTGCCATCGTCGACATCGGCAACAAGTGCCGCTAGATCTCATCGTAGTTCACCCAATCCCTAGACTACTGTCACCAAGCCGATGGCAATGCTGCAGCCGTCTAGGAGAAGACTTTTTTATGACTTAAATCTCATGAATCAAAACTGTTAAAAATAAAAAATTTAAGAACTTAAACGTCACAATATACAAAGTTTAAGGACTAACAACGTTAATGACCCTTCAAGTTGAAGAGCATAATAATAAGGGAAAATTTTATATTGGTACCTGTGTTTTAACATAATTGTCTTTTAGTACCTTGTGATTTTAGTAATTTTAAATTGATACATTAACGTTTTAGAAAATTATTTTTTAGTATTTTAAGGTGATTTTTTAGATCGTAAATGTCAAAGTTATCATTGTCATTACTTAACCAAAAAACTAATAATAAATTTAAAAAAATTCTGAAAATATTTTAAACATTTAAAAATAAAAATAAAAATAAAAATAATGCTTTAAATTAAAAATAATTTTTTAGAGTTTCTTCTAAATTTATTAGTTTTTGGTAAAGTATTGAGAGGGTAAATTGGACATTTTACATATTAAAAAATAACCTTAAAGTACTAAAAAATAATTTTCTAAAATGTCAAGTGATTACGCCCAAACGTGTACAAAAACAAGCGGTCAATTGCAGTACAATTTGAACGGTCGATCCAACGAGGAAGTGTTAAATTGAACAAGAAATGACTAGCAAATAAAAAAGCGTTAGGAAAGTAAGCAATCAAACAAAGAAAAAGAATGAGTGTTTTTGATGATTTTTTGAACAATTTAAAATGGAGAAAATTCAATAATAAAAAGTGGTAAGGCTTTGAGAATCCTCCATATGCTTTGTTTACCTAATTGGATTTTGATTCATAAATTGGCTCAATTGAAAGTTTCACATCCCAAACAATCAATCGGAAAATAAATATTTGAAGAACATATGAATTAAAAATGTATTCGAGTAAATAAAATTCTAACGTTTAGAATTAAGAAAAATTATCTTATGAGAAATCTAAGAGCGACAATATACCGTTGGCAATATTGCAGTAAAAGACTACTCATAAAACAATACCTATCAATATATAATATAATGCAACAATCACATAAAAAGAGCTTGACTAGATTTATATGAAAGTTAACAATAAAATATATTGATAAGAAGAAGAAATAGGATAAAAGAAAATTATTTACTCATATGTATAAAACTTACAAACCATTAGAGAATCAAAAATCCCAATAAGTTCACTACACATATAAGATCATCTCTAGCCTTACCTAAATACTCTAGCCTAGCTTGCACATAATTCCCATAAAATTCTAAAAAGAAAGTATGAGAATAAAAACAAGAAAATAATAGAAAATGTGTGAGAATTTAGACTCCTAAAAATTAACCCCTAATCACCTTGACAATGGCCCTATTTATAGAGCTTTTTAAAATGCTAAGAAAAAACCATCACAAGGCTTAAACGGGGAGAAAAACCATCATAAACGTGGCTGAAGAGGTGGGCCACGTGTTGCGAGTGGATTCGCGCGCGGGAGAAGTGCTGTACTGGCTGGGCCCACACGGAGGAAGGCTTGACGTGCGTGGGAGAGGAAGTCGCGCGGGAGAGAGAAATCGTGCGCGCGGAGGAGAGAACGTGCGCGCCAAGTGTGCTTGCTAGCGTGGGGAAGGAACTGGGCACGGGACCACGTGGCGTGGTGTGATTGGAGGGCTGCTGCACGCGGGACCCACGCGGAGAGGAATGGAGATCCGGGTGATGCGCGCGTGGAGGAGACTCGTGCGGGAGAAGGGTCCGTGCACGCCAAGCGCGCATACGCGCGGGGACAACTGGGTCCCACGGACCTGCGGCGCGGCAGAAGACGACACGTGGCGGCTGGGATGGGCTCGCGGCTTCTCGGCTCGGCTAGACGATGGGCTGATGGGCTTTGGGCTGAATTGGGCTTTTCTTGGGCTCAACTTTTGGGTTTTGCTTGGTAAACTAGCTCAAATCCAATTGTTTTCTTCAAAAACCTGAAAATAAAATAAATCTAATTAAATTTAAATCCTCTAAATTTAGGAATATTTGAAATTAAAATCACAAATTTAATAAAATAATTTGACAATTATGAACATTAAAAGTGTAAATTTGTGCACTTATCATCAAGGTATCGATTTAAAATTATTAAAGACATACGGTATCAAAAGACAATTATGCTAAAATACAGGGTATCAATATGAAATTTTCCCTAATAATAAATCAAGTATTTTATACATTTACCCCTGAACTTGTATAGTTTTAACAACTTGCCCTTTGGACTTTTAATTTTGGCAAGTTGTCTCCTCAACTTGTAAAATTATTGCAATTACCCTATTTTGATGATAATTGTACAAAATTAGTATCGAAAAAACACATTCGATAAAAAATTTTAACATCCCAATACAAATGTAGCACAAATTTTTTAAATTCCTCGACTTTTAATACTTAAGGGTCTATCTGGTTCATGAGTTCAAACCATAAGTTGAACTATGCAGAACCCTTAAAACAAACAGACCCTAAATCTAATAAAAAATTTGAACAAATTTAGTAAAGTATGGCGCATTGCAACAGTTTTACAAGTTTATAGAGTTAATTGTCAAAATAAAAAATTTAGGGGGTAATTGACTAAACCACGACAAATTCGGGGCCATTGTGCTAAAAATTCTATTATGTCTAATAAGCCTTGAGACACCATTCATGAACATTATGTAATCATTATCTCAAACCCAAACTGCTTCTGATTTGCCGCACAAAGAAAGCATGTGGTATCAAACCGCAGTTGGCTGTGATAACTCACACTTAAATGCATGGATCCTGTTTTTATTTCAAACCCAGGAGCACCCTGGAGTTTTCTTCAAACCCGAGTCTTTAATCTTCGATCTTGTTTTGTCTGCATCACGCAATCTACCTGATTGAGCATATATATTTGACAAAACTATGTAATTAGTAAGGTTTCCAGGCTCAACTTTAACGAGATGGTCCAGGGCAACTTCTCCGAACTCTGCATTAGAATGCATTCCACACGCACCCAACAAAGCTCCCCAAACTCCAGCATCCGGCTCCATTGGCATTGTACTGATTAAGCTAAGAGCTTCATCAAACAATCCAGCACGACCTAAAAGATCAACCACGCAAGCATAATGCTCCAAATTTGGCTCAAGATGGTGTTTCTCACGAATGGACTTAAAAATTCTTTTGCCTTCTTCTACTAAACCAGCATGCCTGCAAGCAGATAAAACACTGACGAAGGAAAAATTATCAACTTCGACATGATTTTCCTGCATGAGAGAGAAAAGCGAAACTGCAGAATCTCCTCGGCCATGTACAGCATATCCAGCGAGCATCACGTTCCATGAAACTGTATTTTTGTGCTCCATATCATTAAAGCATTTCTTTGAAAAATCAAGCCGCCCACATTTAGCATACATATCAATGAGACTATTTCCAACAAGGGTATTCGACAAAACCCCCATCTTGATAAGAGAGGCATGAAAAGCCATGCCTAGTCTCAAGTCTGAAAGATATGCCACTGCAGGAAGAATGCTCACAAATGTTACTGAATTAGGCCTCACATTCTCTAGTCTCATCTGGTTAAAAGCAGAAATAGCTTCTTTGGCGTGTTTACTCTGCGCATATCCTGAAATTAAAGCATTCCACGCCACTTCATTCTTTGTCAACTCGATTCTGTTGAACAAAAAATCAGCTGAGGGTAGGCTTCCACACTTTGCGTACATCCCAATGAGAGAGTTTATTACATGATTGTCGGATTCAAGGCCATATTTTATGATTTTCCCATGGATGCACGCACCCTGACCGAGGTCATTTAATAGTATACAAGCTTGAACCAGAGCTACCATGGTTCTTTCATCTGGTTGTATACCAGACAACTGTAATTTACGAAACATTTCCATAGCATGGAACGGTTCCCCGATCTGGGTGCACACATTTATCAAAGAATTCCATGCTACAACATCTTTAGATGGCATTCTATGGAAAACGAACAAAGCAGTGGTTAAGAATCCAAATTTAGCATACATGGACACAAGGGCTGCTCCTATTGAGATGCCGCAATCAATATTGGCTTTAATAGTGTGACAATGTATGCTCCTGCCTAATCTTATAGATGATAGCTCTGCACATGCCGAAAGGATGCTTGATATGGTCACCCAATCTAGTTTCAAGTATTCATTCTGACTATCTTGAAACAAAGACAACGCCTCTTCAAAATACCCCGAGTCAACAAAAGCAGATGTAAGTGCAGAATGAGCAATGACATCTTTTCCATGAAGCCCGTCAAACAATTCTTTAGCCTTCTCTATTTCTCCGCACTTTGCATACATGGTCATGATAGAAGTGGCTACTGAAACATTTGAATCAATTCCTTCTTGTACAGCACAACTATGTATCTCCTTTCCTTTCTCTAGATTTCTCAACTCAGTAGCTGCCAAGAGTGCACTTATGACTGACACTGCATTCATCTTAAGGTTCTCACCCTTCACGGAATCAAATAACTCCAAAACCTCGAGGAAGTAACCGTTATAGAGATATCCTGCCATCATTGTTCCCCACGAGATATTATCACGTCCCTTCATCGTGTCAAAAACCCGGCGAGCAACACTAACATCTCCGCACTTGGAGTACATATCAATCAACCCATTTGACACCGCAGCTCCAACATCCCTCCTAACCGCGTATCCATGAATAGACCTACAAGAATCAATATCTGCCAGTACAGAAACAGCTCGAACCAAGTTCAACAAACTCACCGAGTTGGGCTCCAATCCCCATAACTGCATACTCCGAAAAAACTCCAGCGCCTTGCAGGGATCCCCGCTTTGCGAAAAACCTGTAATCATCGCATTACAAGCCACAACATCCTTCTCAGGCATTCCATCGAACACTTGGAGTGCAAGCCTTATTTCACCCATTTTACTATACATGTAAAGCAAACTGGTCCCTATAAAAACATCAGATTCTAATCCCCTAAGAGCTATTTCACGGTGGATAAGAACACCCTCTTGCAAATCCAAAGAACCGGTACAAGCCTTCACAACAAAGTTGAAGGTATACTTGTCGGGTTCCATACCTTCTTTCAACATGGAGCGGTACATTCCGAGAGCATCTCCGAACCGGTTTGATCTCACGTAGGCTCTGATCATGGAGTTCCAGAGAATCACAGCTGGGTTTGGCGTGGAATCGAAGACGGAGTGACAGACGTCGCATTTTCGAAAGAAAGAATAGGCGTTGATGAGACGGGTCGCTGTGTGAGTGTCGTTTTTGTGGCGTGAAACTATCAAGTGGCCATGGATTTGAAGCAAAGGCTTGAGTTGCTTGCATGAGTTGAGGAGGTGAAGAGGAGAGAGATTTTCGGAGGTTGCTGGTGTGTGCGTATGGCCATGGTAGGATCTACGTAGAAGTCGTTTTGCCTTCTGCATGGTTTGGAATTACAGCTTTGGAAGGTCTCACCAGATTTTATATTACTTGGAATTGAGATTTGCTTTGTTTATTTCAAAGAACTCTTATTTTGTGATGTGAAAAGTGTTAGGAAATTATATTTCCTAATAATAATTATGGGTTACATATTTATAATAATTATAGTAATGTTATTTAAGTAATTGAGCTAATTAAGTGGTCTAATTATAGAGAGCATAAATAATCTCCTAATAAAGTATGGATTAAATATGTGGATACTTAATATTGATCCATTTAGGTTTAATAGGAGCCTAATGGGACAATATATAAATAAACTTAAGTTATGGTCCTAAATACGTCAAATCATTTGGCCGTTTTCCCTTTTCCCATTCAAGAATTTGGAGATTGACTGAGAAAGACAATAACTCGACGTGCCCATTGTCTTAGAGATTTCTACTGGAGATTAAGGCCGCACCAATGGAGACATGTATTTGTTCTAACCTATTTTCTTAGTAATTTGGTGTGATGATTCCTAAAATGTGGAATAAGGATTTAAAGATCCAACAAGTGGTATCAGAGCGGTCATCACATTAAATTATTGAGAGAATTTTCATCTCTAATATCTTCGGTTGAATATTATGTGGATTGATTCATATGATTTTTCTTTTGTATACGGAATTTTAGATATGCTTTATTTTATTGAGAAAAACATGTATATTGATAATCACATGAATTCTTAGTGATTGATTTTAATTAAATTTGTTGAATAATTTCAGATTAATTTTTATTTACAAAATTGATTTTCTAGAAAATTAGGAATTAAAGAAATTTGGTAAAGAATTAATTAAAGAATTTTTTTGTTTGTTTCTGGAAAACTTTTTTCCTTCTTTCTTCTTCTCTTCTCCGGATTGAAGATTGTGGCTGGCGGCAGCCTTGGCCGCCGACGCTGAGGAAACAAGGGCGCGACCATTAGGCCACGCTGACGGGCTGGCCACGACCTGTGGCCATGGCGGGATGAGGACCAGTGGCGGCCAAGGCTGCCGCATAAGGAAAAGAACAAAAAAAAACTTCTTCATGGCTGGTGGCTGCATTTGCCACCACCGGCACTATGGATGACCGGTCGCAGTCCTCTGACCGCGGCGGTGACAGGACAGCCACGGTGTACCACCGTGGCTACATGAAGTGGTGGCCTCGTGGCCGCCACATTTGGGGAAGGGTCGCGATCGTGACCCTAGGGTTCCCACAGTTTTAGGCTTTGGCCCAAAATTGCAACAACAAAAAGGACATGGACCTATTTTAGGCCCGTGACAAAAAAGGGAAGCACAGGCCCGATTGGGCTTGTGCATTTGAAGTAAGGACCGCAGGTTACCTGCGGCCATAAAGAAGAATAATTACCAATTTTGGCAATTTTAGGTTTGTTTTAAACCCAATTTTGGAGATTTTGAGTAATTTTTAACCCATCAAGAAATTGAGTGCAAATAATTAAAGAAATTTAAAGATTCAATTGAATAAAATGAAATTCCGGTTCTTTATTTTGTTTTATTTGATTATTATTGCACTTAATTGTCTTGTATTTTGAAATAAATTGATTGAAATAATATTGTTGTCAAAGTAACCTCTGTTGTGGATGTTAATTTATTTTAAAATATAAAGATGAGTATACCTATTATTTATGCGAATAATGATCGGCCCAAAGGAAGGTTATTATTTGGCCAACAAATAGGTATAATTGTGGTAATAAATATGTGACAATTGTATTGTTTTCCATGTGAACAATAGTCGGCCCAAAGGAAGGCTATTGTTTGAAAGGATTTATTGTCAATATTTGATTACCGTGCAAAGAGTACTACATACAAGCTGATATTTCTGGTCTAAAGACTAAATATCAATGTTGTGCTAGGTATCTTGAAATAGGTCCACCATCCTTCAGATTGTTTGTTTATGTCATATGTGCATTTTTATTGTTAGATTATGCTAATGTATGACATGAATGTTGATTGTGAGTATCTTGTTTTATTTTGCTCTCTATTCAGTTTATGCTACTGCTACTAACGTTTCAGCACAAATAAGTATGATCCCAATGCTGAATGGGACGAATTTCAAGATCTGAAAGAGAACGTGGAAATCATTCTCGGCTGTATGGACTTAGACGATGCGCTAAGGATTGAGCGACCCACTTCCACTACGGAAAATCCGAACATGGATGAAATTGAGAAGTGGGATCGCTCTAACCGCATGAGTCTAATGATCATAAAACGCTCCACTTCGGAAGCGTTTCGGCACTCTATTACTGAAAGCACTAATGCCAAGAAGTTCCTCAAAGAAATTGAGCAATATTTTGCTAATAATAAAAAGGTAGAAACGAGTAATATTTTGGCAAAATTTATTTCCATGCGGTATAAAGGAAAGGGGAACATAAGGGAGTACATTATGGAGATGTCTATCGACATTCTCCTCCATGTATTTTCCCACATTTAGGACATTTTAGATACTCCTTAGCAGTTGAATTATCTGTCTTAGGCCACTTGTTAGCATTTTGTTGCCACTCTTGCTTATATTTCCCTTTTGCTGCAATTGTTCCTGGTTTCTACTGGTCATTCTTAGCGGCATAAGTAGCTCTATTCTCCAATTTTTGTCTCTTAATACCCTTCTCAGATATCATAACCAGTCCAACTGCTTCGCTGAACGACTGAGGCCTCGACATGCTCACATCCTTATGGATAGCTGATTTCAACCCTTAATGAAGATGTCTATCGACATTCTCCTCCATGCATTTTCCCATATTTAGGACATTTTGGATACTCTTTAGCAATTGAATTATCTGTCTTAGGCCGCTTGTTAGCATTTTTTTGCCACTCTTGCTTATGTTTCCCTTTTGCTGCAGTTGTTCCTGGTTTCTACTGGACATTCTTAGCGGCATAAGTAGCTCTATTCTCCAATTTTTGTCTCTTAATACCCTTCTCAGATATCATAGCTAGTACAACTGCTTTGCTGAATGATTGAGGCCTCGACATGCTCACATCCTTATGGATAGTTGCTTTCAAACCCTTAATGAAGATGTTCATCTTTTTCACGTCATTACCTACTATCCATGGATCAAATCTTTAAAGTCGTTCAACTTTAGTGACATAGTCATCAACAGTCATAGTACCCTGTGCTAATCCCACAAACTCAACCACTTTACTTTTCTTTACTTCCTTAGTGAAGTACTTGTTGTAAAATAATTCTTTGAAACCATTCCAAGTAAGGTTGGTAGCAGCTAGAGTCAACTTAATAGATGCCCACCAATGCCTAACATTATTCTTTAGCAATTGAATAGCACAGGAAACTCGTTGAGCATCTTCCATAACCATGTAGTCAAAGATACTTTCTATAGTATTGATCCATTCTTCAGCAATTAGTGGATCAGGTCCACCATGGAAATCATTAGGACGCTGCTTCCTAAAACCCTCATAAATAGGTTACAAATTATCTTGTCTTTGTTGTCGAGGGGGAGGTGGAGGCTGATTTACATGCTGGGCTCCTTGTTGTGCCATCATGTTATGAAACTGCTATGTTTGTTGCTGAAACCGTTGAGCTTGCATTTGCATTTATTGTCTCATAAACTCATTTTGTTGTCTCTGTTGATTAGCCTATTGCTAAATTAATGCAATTAATCCAGCAAACATTTGAGCTATATCGACGTTCGGGGGATCTCTAGTATATCTTTTAGGAGGTATTTTGCTACAACACCCATTTCTAACCGTTAGGTTTAAGCCAATAATAATAAATATACTTCCATGTAAATGCAATATAAAACATAAATATATTATTCTGTACATTAGAAATCATAAACATTACTGATTGGTTGAGTTTCTTATGCAACCACTTGTCTATATGTACTTCACTGTCTTCAGAAACATTAAACACTGGGCTTTGATACCAAAATTGTAATGTCCCCAACGCTAAACCGGTCTAAGGCCAAATTTAGCGAGATGGTGCTACTTAAAACATACTTTTTATACTTAAAACAATGTCATTTTTAAGATGCAGAAACTTGTGGTTGATTTCATCACAAGATTTCCGTAAAGGTTTTTAAACAAAATGAGTCAGTGCGTAAAATGATTACAACCACAAATCTTAGACATTAAACAGTTATTCAAAACTGACAAAGTAACGAAAAAATATTTTGGGCCCATCTATTGTTTGGAAGTACATATAAGCAAAGATGCCAAATGTAGGACTTGGAGTACTCAGCCAACCTTAGAAATTATTTTTTTACTAATCGTAACAACACATCATCTGCATCACAAGGTAAAACTAATGAGTAAAAACTCAGTAAGAAGATTTCAAATAAAGTAAGTATCTAAAATCTCCGTGGCTAAAATCTCTTTGTTAAACATTGTTCATAAATTTTCATACTTATTCTTAGTTTAGGTATGATACAGAACTTCGGTTCAAGGTAAGCCTCTCTATACAAGACCTTCTCTAATTTTGGCAAATTCTCTTCTCTTAAACACTAAGCGGGGTTTTTAGAATCTTTTTCTCTTGTGATCAACAAGAGACTTCCCACTAGTATTTTTCTCTAGTTGTCTCAAAGAGACAGTTACTCTAATTTGGGACACTGGTCCCTCACACTTCTGCTTCCCCAGCCTCTCATCCATATACCATACCATAAAATCTCTTAAAACATAAAAATATAATAAGCAAATATCATAATCTCTTTCAAAATAATTAATCATGAATACTCTTTGAACATAATCATATAAGAATTTCATAAGAGAATAAACTTGCATAATCACAATTCTGAACAAGTTCTTTCGTCAAATAGGTCTTGTGATGCAATTTTAAAAATGCTTGAACTCTACTTACTTGAATTTTGATCACCAATTTGTAAGCACCAACTAGCTGGTTATGGGGAGCCTTCAATGTGCTAATTAACCTTTTAAAACCATAGCTTTCAAAAATTACATTCATGTCATCATTTAACAAAACACATAACTGCGCATTGTTACGAAAATATTCATAATAAATTTG